ACCATTGATCTGGCACACCTGTCTGGACTATCAGTATCAAATCCAACAAGAAAAATATCGATCCCCTTATGAATCCAACGTCCGCGAGGAGTGCGAACCTTATGGAAACATAAGATATGGTTCAGAGCACAATTACCCTGTGCCACAAAATTACATGGATAACATTGATTACAAAGGACAACAAATGACGGATTACTATTACGCCCCAATTATTCCGACCTTCCGGAAATTCGCGCCATCACAACAAATCTCTCAATCGCGCACACCCGCTACACTTTCTTCACGCGCACCTAACACGTCCCCAGGGTCTTCGGCCCCTACAACGCCGATTCCTTCGCCCACTTACCTTTCAAACCTACCTTCACGACGGTACGTGGAATCCCCACAGTTGTGGATGTAACATGTTGACCCTAGTCATTTTACTCGCGAATGATGGGATGTTAGTCGCGTACAAAAAGGTTATAAATTGGGATATACGACTTCTAAAATATAGTCATTACGTAGTTTTTCTATGTTGACAGACACGTGTTTTTTATTTAATTGCGTCATTTTACTGTACTTTTAGGCACTAAAAATTTTCTACATTTCCGCTTTCGCTGTAACAAACTTTGTTATTTATTATTGTAAAAAAGTTTTCACAAGTCTGTTCATATCTCGAGTCTCTAGAATTTTACCAAAAAATATCATTAAAAAAAAAACTGTTCCTGTATGTTAATTGTGTTGCCAACTGTACACTGACTTGGTGCTCACTGATATGCATTAAAATTGCCGTTTCACGTGGCGTTTATCTATAGATGCATATATGGTAAATCCGGCTGACCATACGGTGTAAGCCGAATGTTGTTGCAGCTACTAAAAAACGCCAAGTCGGAAGGCTTAATATACGGTTTTGGTTTTTTCTAATTGACTGAAATATATTTTAGTTTAGGAATTCTCATGATTGTTATCATTTGAAATCTTATAGGCAAACCATTTTTTTTCTCTAGATATTCTTATTAGAAAGAAAGCACGTGCCACCAAAATTCAGTTCTAAAGTTTATCCAAGAGTCCTTATTACAATCTTTTTTTATAAATTCCAATATCTCATCATTTGATGTATTGTGCATCTAAAGATGACCAATGATTTTGTCT